AGGCTAAGAGCAGTAACGGAACATACTATGATCAGTAACAGAACATACTAACATCAGTAACGGAACAGGCTAAGATCAGTAACGGAACATCCTAAGATCAGTAACAGAACAGGCTAAGATCAGTAACGGAACAGGCTAAGATTAGTAACGGAACAGGCTAATATCAGTAACAGAACATACTAAGATCAGTAACAGAAAAGGCTAAGATAAGTAACGGAACAGGCTAAGATAAGTAACGGAACAGGCTAAGATAAGTAACGGAACAGGCTAAGATCAGTAACGGAACATCCTAAGATCAGTAACAGAACAGGCTAAGATCAGTAACAGAACATACTAAGATCAGTAACAGAACAGGCTAAGATAAGTAACGGAACAGGCTAAGATCAGTAACGGAACATACTAAGATCAGTAACAGAACAGGCTAAGATCAGTAACGGAACATACTATGATCAGTAACAGAACATACTAAGATCAGTAACGGAACATACTAAGATCAGTAATGGAACATACTAAGATCAGTAACGGAACAGGCTAAGATCAGTAACAGAACAGGCTAAGATTAGTAACGGAACAGGCTAAGATCAGTAACAGAACAGGCTAAGGACAGTTACGAAGCAGGCTAAGAATAGTAATGGAATAGGCTAAGATCAGTAACGGAACATGCTAAGATCAGTAACGGAACAGGCTAAGATCAGTAACGGAACATACTATGATCAGTAACAGAACATACTAAGATCAGTAAAGGAACAGACTAAGATCAGTAACGGAACAGGCTAAGGTCAGTAACGAATCAGGCTAAGAGTAGTAATGGAATAGGCTAAAATCAGTAACGGAACAGGCTTCGATCAGTAACGGAACATACTAAGATCAGTAATGCAACAGGCTAAGATCAGTAACAGAACATACTAAATCAGTAACGGAACATACTAAGATCAGTAATCGAACATACTAAGATCAGTAACGGAACAGGCTAAGGTCAGTAACGAATCAGGCTAAGATTAGTAATTGAATAGGCTAAGATCAGTAACGGAACAGGCTTCGATCAGTAACGTAACATACTAAGATCAGTAATGGAACAGGCTTCGATCAGTAACGGAACATACTAAGATCAGTAATCGAACATACTAAGATCAGTAACGGAACAGGCTAAGGTCAGTAACAGAACAGGCTAAGGTCAGTTACGAAGCAGGCTAAGAATAGTAATGGAATAGGCTAAGATCAGTAACGGAACTAAGTAACGGAACAGGCTAAGATCAGTAACGGAACAGACTAAGATCAGTAACGGAACAGACTAAGATCAGGAACGGAACAGGCTAAGATCAGTAACGGCACAGACTAAGATCAGTAACGGAACAGGCTAAGGTCAGTAACAGAACAGGCTAAGAATAGTAACGGAATAGGCTAAAATTAGAGAATAGTAATGGAATAGGCTAAGATCAGTAACGGAACTAAGTAACGGAACAGGCTAAGATCAGTAACGGAACAGGCTAAGATCAGTAACGGAACATACTATGATCAGTAACCGAACATACTAAGATCAGTAACGGAACAGGCTAAGGTCAGTAACGAATCAGGCTAAGAGTATTAATGGAATAGGCTAAGATCAGTAACGGAACTAAGTAACGGAACAGGCTAAGATCAGTAACGGAACAGGCTAAGATTAGTAACGGAACAGGCTAATATCAGTAACAGAACATACTAAGATCAGTAACAGAACATACTAAGATCAGTAAAGGAACAGACTAAGATCAGTAACGGAACAGGCTAAGGTCAGTAACAGAACAGGCTAAGGTCAGTTACGAAGCAGGCTAAGAATAGTAATGGAATAGGCTAAGATCAGTAACGGAACTAAGTAACGGAACAGGCTAAGATCAGTAACGGAACATACTAAGATCCGTAATGGAACAGACTAAGATCAGTAATGGAACATACTAAGATCAGTAATGGAACATACTAAGATCAGTAACGGAACAGGCTAAGGTCAGTAACAGAACAGGCTAAGGTCAGTTACGAAGCAGGCTAAGAATAGTAATGGAATAGGCTAAGATCAGTAACGGAACTAAGTAACGGAACAGGCTAAGATCAGTAACGGAACATACTAAGATCAGTAATCGAACATACTAAGATCAGTAACGGAACAGGCTAAGGTCAGTAACAGAACAGGCTAAGAATAGTAACGGAATAGGCTAAAATTAGAGAATAGTAATGGAATAGGCTAAGATCAGTAACGGAACTAAGTAACGGAACAGGCTAAGATCAGTAACGGAACATACTAAGATCAGTAACGGAACAGACTAAGATCAGGAACGGAACAGGCTAAGATCAGTAACGGCACAGACTAAGATCAGTAACGGAACAGGCTAAGGTCAGTAACGAATCAGGCTAAGATTAGTAATTGAATAGGCTAAGATCAGTAACGGAACAGGCTAAGATTAGTAACGGAACAGGCTAAGATCAGTAACAGAACATACTAAGATCAGTAACGGAACAGGCTAAGGTCAGTAACGAATCAGGCTAAGAGTAGTAATGGAATAGGCTAAGATCAGTAACGGAACAGGCTAAGGTCAGTAACAGAACAGGCTAAGAATAGTAACGGAATAGGCTAAAATTAGTAACGGAACAAGGGGAACCTACATATCAAATTTGTGAAAGATCCCTCTAGTACTTTACGGTAGTAGAGATAACAAACCTTAACTGTCAAAATCTAAGATGGCTACATGTCGACCGGGCAAGAGGGATCCTCTAATGTGAAAAATAGTAATCTACTCTGTTAATGATATTTACATGATTATTGAATTAAATATTGTTTAAAATAAGTTGGTGTCATAAAGGGGAGGAACTCTTTCCTTCCAAAGAGAATAAATTTTACATGAATGATGGGGGCCAGGTATCCATGTACCCTGTGATAATGTGTTAAATATAAGGGAACCACAATTTAAGGTTTACAGTTTTATTTACATTATTATTTGAAAAATACAAAATTTCTACAGCATTGAATTTATGATAGTGTAAAGGTCTGTAGTCTACGACAAATGTCTAATCTCATGTAAAAACCACTGATTCAAGTTACACAGAAAAAATGCAAACACAACACAGTGATGTAATAGCTATACATATACAGCATCTTGTAGTGAGTTGAGACAAGTTTGGTAAAATTCCACTAAACAAATACTTGTGGAAGCATTAAACACATCACAGACACCATCAATGTGTACAGACTCATCACAGACACCATCAACATGTACAGACTGTGTATTCTAGTATTGAGTTCATCACAGACACCATCAATGTATACAGACTGTGTATTGTAGTATTGAGTTCATCACAGACACCATCAATGTGTACAGACTGTTTTTTGTAGTATTGAGTTCATCACAGACAACATCAATGTGTACAGACTGTGTATTGTAGTATTTGAGTTCATCACAGACACCATCAATGTGTACAAACTGTTTTTTGTAGTATTGAGTTCATCACAGACAACATCTATGTGTACAGACTGTGTATTGTAGTATTGAGTTCATCACAGACCCCAGCAATGTGTACAGACTGTTTTTTGTAGTATTGAGTTCATCACAGACAACATCTATGTGTACAGACTGTGTATTGTAGTATTGAGTTCAACACAGACACCATCAATGTGTACAGACTGTGTATTGTAGTATTGAGTTAATCATCATCAATGTGTACAGACTGTGTATTGTAGTATTGAGTTCATCACAGACACCATCAATGTGTACAGACTGTGTATTGTAGTATTGAGTTCATCACAGACACCATCAATGTGTACAGACTGTGTATTGTAGTATTGAGTTCATCACAGACACCATCAATGTGTACAGACTGTGTATTGTAGTATTGAGTTCATCACAGACACCATCAATGTGTACAGACTGTGTATTGTAGTATTGAGTTCATCACAGACACCATCAATGTGTACAGACTGTGTATTGTAGTATTGAGTTCATCACAGACACCATCAATGTGTACAGACTGTGTATTGTAGTATTGAGTTCATCACAGACACCATCAATGTGTACAGACTGTGTATTGTAGTATTGAGTTCATCACAGACACCATCAATGTGTACAGACTGTGTATTGTAGTATTGAGTTCATCACAGACACCATCAATGTGTACAGACTGTGTATTGTAGTATTGAGTTCATCACAGACACCATCAATGTGTACAGACTGTGTATTGTAGTATTGAGTTCATCACAGACACCATCAATGTGTACAGACTGTGTATTGTAGTATTGAGTTCATCACAGACACCATCAATGTGTACAGACTGTGTATTGTAGTATTGAGTTCATCACAGACACCATCAATGTGTACAGACTGTGTATTGTAGTATTGAGTTCATCACAGACACCATCAATGTGTACAGACTGTGTATTGTAGTATTGAGTTCATCACAGACACCATCAATGTGTACAGACTGTGTATTGTAGTATTGAGTTCATCACAGACACCATCAATGTGTACAGACTGTGTATTGTAGTATTGAGTTCATCACAGACACCATCAATGTGTACAGACTGTGTATTGTAGTATTGAGTTCATCACAGACACCATCAATGTGTACAGACTGTGTATTGTAGTATTGAGTTCATCACAGACACCATCAATGTGTACAGACTGTGTATTGTAGTATTGAGTTCATCACAGACACCATCAATGTGTACAGACTGTGTATTGTAGTATTGAGTTCATCACAGACACCATCAATGTGTACAGACTGTGTATTGTAGTATTGAGTTCATCACAGACACCATCAATGTGTACAGACTGTGTATTGTAGTATTGAGTTCATCACAGACACCATCAATGTGTACAGACTGTGTATTGTAGTATTGAGTTCATCACAGACACCATCAATGTGTACAGACTGTGTATTGTAGTATTGAGTTCATCACAGACAACATCAATGTGTACAGACTGTGTATTGTAGTATTGAGTTCATCACAGACAACATCAATGTGTACAGACTGTGTATTGTAGTATTGAGTTCATCACAGACAACATCAATGTGTACAGACTGTGTATTGTAGTATTGAGTTCATCACAGACACCATCAATGTGTACAGACTGTGTATTGTAGTATTGAGTTCATTACAGACACCATCAATGTGTACAGACTGTGTATTGTAGTATTGAGTTCATCACAGACACCATCAATGTGTACAGACTCATCACAGACACCATCAACATGTACAGAATGTGAGTTTATTTAGTAATATATTACAATCAAGTTCATGACTTTATAATGAGTAAATATGTAATCAAGACTATAAAAACCCATTATCATATCATATAATTTTGTATAAATATTTAAGAACACGCAAGCATATTGTGACCGCTTATTTTTACATTTCTGTTCACTCGTAAATTTTACATGCAACTCAACAATTACATGTGTTGTGTATACCGTTATATATTTACACTTGTGACACATGCTTATGATGTAACCAACCAAAATAAAGTTGTGTTCATAGCACTTTAAACACACTGCGACTAGGTGTAAATCAACCACGTAAGTGACTAAGATTACAGTAACACTGCGACTAGGTGTAAATCAACCACAAAAGTGATTAAGATTCCAGTAACACTACGACTAGGTGTAAATCAACCACGTAAGTGAATAAGATTACAGTAACACTGCGACTAGGTGTAAATCAACCACGTAAGTGACTAAGATTACAGACACTCTGCGGCTATGTGTAAATCTACCATGTAAGTGACTAAGATTACAGTAACACTGCGGCTAGGTGTAAATCAGCCACGTAAGTGACTAAGATTACAGTAACTCTGCGGCTATGTGAAAATCAACCATGTAAGTGACTAAGATTACAGTAACTCTGCGGCTATCTGAAAATCAACCATGTAAGTGACTAAGATTACAGTAACACTGCGGCTAGGTGTAAATCAACCACGTAAGTGACTAAGATTACAGTAACTCTGCGGCTAGGTGTAAATTAACCATGTAAGTGACTAAGATTACAGTAACTCTGCGGCTATGTGAAAATCAACCATGTAAGTGACTAAGATTACAGTAACTCTGCTGCTATGTGTAAATCAACCACGTAAGAGACTAAGATTACAGTAACTCTGCGGCTAGGTGTAAATTAACCACGTAAGTGACTAAGATTACAGTAACACTGCGGCTAGGTGTAAATCAACCACGTAAGTGACTAAGATTCATTGAGTGCCGCGTCATAATGAACTGAAAATACACCATGCAGAGCACAATAACCACAAAAGAACCCTCTCCATCAAAAACCAATAACTATGATATGAAGAATGTAAATAGATGAATTTATTTTTCAATCGCTTAATATATATATATATAACTTCATTTCTGTAAAAAATTGCTGATTTGCAAAAAACTAACACATGAAGAGTTTAATTTTCAAATGACTCACCATGCTTATTAATGCAAGATAAAAATCTTCAATGAAATATACTTGTTCACATTATCAGTGAAATAGAACTAGGACAGTCCTGATACATTGTACATACAATGTAAATCAAATAATGTATACCATACCTGCATACATTACTTCTACGAGTTGCCATAGTAACAAAACAAAATTGTAATAAATAATTACATATCACAATAATATATAGTGAGATTATCATCATTACACATGTAATGACTTGTGAGAAATTCACAGTTTTAGGCAATTGTCTTTTAGAAGTTCATGTTTTAATTAGGACAATTGTCCCATCACAAGAATTATCCATTAATCCTCGGGTCCTAATTTGGTTGTTATGACACTGGTCCAGTAAAGCATCCTTCACTCTGCAAAAAAAATAAAAAGGTGTTAAAATTAGTATTATTGATTACTTGAGTTCAAACTGTGGAAAACCTTGGTATCATAAGTGTAATAATCTTTCAAGCCTAGCAATTGTATCTATAGGTTATACAGGGTGGGAATAACAACCCATTCCATGTTATGACATGGCAAATGAGTCCCCAGGGTGGAGACTGACCCTCAGCCCATTGCTGGTAGCATGACTGTGTTTGTCTCTACATGCCAAGCAATGATATATATATATATTTATAGGGAAGGTAATTCCACAGTTTGGACCAACCCCTCTAACCTCAGATGACAAATTCTTCTTTTAAATACTTCGATAGTATATCTGAAGCTTAATGAGATGTCTAACCAAAGAAATGCGGTTAAAAGCTGGCTACTTACCAAAGTTATTGAAATGGACCAAAGTAACTTTTTTGAAAATGATGAGACAAAAGAAATAAACCCAATGTTTAACAATCTCAGGAAAACATGATTGTCGTAAATGATTTTAAGTTTTGATATATAAATTTATTTTTTTATTTTTTGAGAATTGCATTGAAAAAGACAAATCATGAAAATAACGACAAAAATTTTCAACATTTTGTATTCTTATAATTAGTTAAATTACATTTAAAGGGGAGTTGTGTGCCCAATTCCAGTTTATATGACATGAAATTGAAGGCTATTGATATCATGACTCCTTCTCATTTTCGTACAATCATGTCGCCAATGTGATGTTAAAACTTGCGACACAAACCTGGTGTTTTTTGCGTTCTACAAAATCTGCCAGCCGACTCGTGGACAGAGGTTTTGGTCGAAGAGGGGATGACCGTGAGATGGCAAGCTTCCCAATCCAGGCGCTGTCCATACAGGTGTTGGGAGTCGGCCTTTTACTATTGGTAAATCACATTACATTATTTTACATTTACTGCTGCATGTACTAGCAGAGGTATATAATATACCAGGGCATCAATGTTTAAGAACACATAACACTATAGCATCTATTTGGGGGGACATATATTTCCAGGGAATGAATAGGCAGAGACATATATGAAACAGGAGACGAAAAATGCATGGCCAGACCGAGTTTGGAACCTGGGACCCTCCGAACTCTAGACAGACACCCTACCAATTGAGCTACATGGTCACCATCAATCGACCCAGTCCATTTTTGCTACATTTATTATCAAGGTATAAATTTGAAGAGAAGAATTTGCAGACATAATTCCTACCAGGATATCAGTTTCCAGGGACACATAATACAAAAGCTTCATTTGTTTGCAGCAACTTGTCTTGAGTAAATCATGAATTCAAATATTCATTAGAGTAAGAGTCAAATGGTGTATGTATTTAGCGACCAGGGATTTGGTTCATAAATTACACATATAAAGTGGGGATCGCACATGATAAAGATTCTATAATAAAAGTGTCTTAATTTCTTTTTAAGAATTCTTACAACAACAAAAAAGATTTGACAATATAATCCACATGTAAAAAACGGCTCAGAACTAAAGATTCTATAATAAAAGAGTCTTATATTTACAAAGAAATACACTTCGACAAATTAAATTATCCACATGTAAATAACGGCTCAGAACTCACTTGAGGTCATCCACAAGCATAGTGTTTATGAGCTCTTTTGCATCGGGAGAAATTCCAGCGAAGTATTCATCGGGGAAGCAGTAATCTGTTCGTACGATGTGGGCACAAGTCTCCTCGTGACTCTCATCCAGGAATGGTGACACCCCACTCAGGAGGACGTACATGACCACGCCCACACTCCTACAGAGTAAGATTTTATCATTTAAAAACATGACCTCGCCCACACTCCTATAGGGTAAAGTTTTATGATTTAAAAACATGACCTGGCCCACACTCCTACAGGGTAAAGTTTTATGATTTAAAAACATGGCCTCGCCCACACTCCTACAGGGTAAAGTTTTATGATTTAAAAACATGGCCTCGCCCACACTCCTACAGGGTAAAGTTTTATAATTTAAAAACATGACCTCGCCCACACTCCTACATGGTAAAGTTTTATCATTAAAAAACATGACCTTGCCCACACTCCTATAGGGTAAAGTTTTATCATTAAAAAACATGACCTTGCCCACACTCCTATAGGGTAAAGTTTTATCATTAAAAAACATGACCTCGCCCACACTACTAGAGGGTAAAGTTTTATGATTTAAAAACATGACCTCGCCCACAATCCTACAGGGAAAAGTTTTATCATTAAAAAACATGACCTTGCCCACACTCCTATAGGGTAAAGTTTTATCATTAAAAAACATGACCTTGCCCACACTCCTATAGGGTAAAGTTTTATCATTAAAAAACATGACCTCGCCCACACTACTAGAGGGTAAAGTTTTATGATTTAAAAACATGACCTCGCCCACAATCCTACAGGGAAAAGTTTTATCATTAAAAAACATGACCTTGCCCACACTCCTATAGGGTAAAGTTTTATCATTAAAAAACATGACCTCGCCCACACTACTATAGGGTAAAGTTTTATGATTTAAAAACATGACCTGGCCCACACTCCTACAGGGTAAAGTTTTATGATTTAAAAACATGACCTCTCCCACACTCCTACAGGGTAAAGTTTTATCATTAAAAAACATGACCTTGCCCACACTCCTATAGGGTAAAGTTTTATCATTAAAAAACATGACCTTGCCCACACTCCTATAGGGTAAAGTTTTATCATTAAAAAACATGACCTTGCCCACACTCCTATAGGGTAAAGTTTTATCATTAAAAAACATGACCTCGCCCACACTCCTATAGGGTAAAGTTTTATCATTAAAAAACATGACCTTGCCCACACTCCTATAGGGTAAAGTTTTATCATTAAAAAACATGACCTTGCCCACACTCCTATAGGGTAAAGTTTTATCATTAAAAAACATGACCTTGCCCACACTCCTATAGGGTAAAGTTTTATCATTAAAAAACATGACCTCGCCCACACTCCTATAGGGTAAAGTTTTATCATTAAAAAACATGACCTCGTCCACACTCCTATAGGGTAAAGTTTTATGATTTAAAAACATGACCTGGCCCACACTCCTACAGGGTAAAGTTTTATGATTTATAAACATGACCTCGCCCACACTCCTACAGGGTAAAGTTTGATAATTTAAAAACATGACCTCGCCCACACTCCTACATGGTAAAGTTTTATCATTAAAAAACATGACCTTGCCCACACTCCTATAGGGTAAAGTTTTATCATTAAAAAACATGACCTCGCCCACACTACTAGAGGGTAAAGTTTTATGATTTAAAAACATGACCTCGCCCACAATCCTACAGGGTAAAGTTTTATCATTAAAAAACATGACCTTGCCCACACTCCTATAGGGTAAAGTTTTATCATTAAAAAACATGACCTCGCCCACACTCCTATAGGGTAAAGTTTTATCATTAAAAAACATGACCTCGTCCACACTCCTATAGGGTAAAGTTTTATGATTTAAAAAAATGACCTCGCCCACACTCCTACAGGGTAAAGTTTGATAATTTAAAAACATGACCTCGCCCACACTCCTACATGGTAAAGTTTTATCATTAAAAAACATGACCTTGCCCACACTCCTATAGGGTAAAGTTTTATCATTAAAAAACATGACCTTGCCCACACTCCTATAGGGTAAAGTTTTATCATTAAAAAACATGACCTTGCCCACACTCCTATAGGGTAAAGTTTTATCATTAAAAAACATGACCTTGCCCACACTCCTATAGGGTAAAGTTTTATCATTAAAAAACATGACCTCGTCCACACTCCTATAGGGTAAAGTTTTATGATTTAAAAAAATGACCTCGCCCACACTCCTACAGGGTAAAGTTTTAGGATTTAAAAACATGACCTCGCCCACACTCCTACATGGTAAAGTTTTATCATTAAAAAACATGACCTTGCCCACACTCCTATAGGGTAAAGTTTTATCATTAAAAAACATGACCTCGCCCACACTACTATAGGGTAAAGTTTTATGATTTAAAAACATGACCTCTCCCACACTCCTACAGGGTAAAGTTTTATCATTAAAAAACATGACCTCGTCCACACTCCTATAGGGTAAAGTTTTATGATTTAAAAACATGACCTCGCCCACACTCCTACAGGGTAAAGTTTTTTGATTTAAACACATTTGATAGGGTAAGGTTTCAGTTTAGATATCACAAAGCTCACTTTTCTTTGTTTCACTTTGGTATTACTGCTTACAGTTATAATACTCATGTTTTAAAGGACACTTAATATCATGTTTTACTTTTCAGCAGACAGACTCTTTATCAGACTCTTTATCGGACTCTTTAAGTCATTTGAGTCATACAAAGTAGACCGAATGCTGCTTTGTTTTCGGATTGGTTGACAATACGGTTTCTACGAAATGCAAACTAGAATTTAGTTATGAACTGACAATAATGGTACTATTTTGTACACGTTCATCTCAAAATGTCTAAAATATCAATGGAGAACTTTCGGCACTTTCCGTATACGAGAAAAAATAAAAATTATTTTCTTATTTACGGATGGTGCTGACAGTTCCCGATTGTCAAAACATGTCACACAAACAAAGCTATCGAAATGAGGAGTTTGTACTTCCCAATAAACAGTCAGTAAGCATACAGTTTTTCTGCAGCTTTATCGTAAAATGTTGGTGTGTATTTTATTGGATTTTAATATGCTCATACATTTGTTGTATATACTCAGCAGTGCTATAGGTATATACAGCTATTTCACACTTGTACCTACATACATTAAATTTCTGCCACTTATCTTTTTGATTTTTTTTTTCTTATTTTCACTGTGAATCTGCAAGCATCAGTAATATATTTGTTATAAATGTCAAATATGATTAAAATTCATATCGAAACATATTTAAGTCTTTGTGAAGGTACACATAGCACTAACCAGATGTCCGTGAGGAGTCCGACAGGAGACCTTCTGATGATTTCGGGGGCGAGAAACTCTGGACTGCCCGCCACATTGTGTATATAATAGTTGTTGTAGATGTGACGGGCGTCGCCGAAATCTATCAGCTTCAGTCGTGGTGACGGCATCCCGCTATCCACCAACAGGTTCTCTGGCTGTCAACAGGAAACCAAATTTTATCTTTAACTTGAAAATGTTAATCTCGCACCAGTGATGTAGATTATTTTGCATCAATATTAGAGGAAAGCATATCTTAAGTAAAATATCTGATCAAATCTATAGTAAAATATCTGTCATTCCTTTATTTTGATTCAATGATAGAAAATATATTTAGTTGCATTTATTCATCTGCAGAATTCCAAGCCTTGCATGCACCTAAGTTTGAATACAAAGTTTGTCTTTGAGATTTTCAAGATTTTATTTGTTTACTCAGTCGCAAAAGTGCGAAACAACAGGTCATACAATTGGTACATTTTAAACATGGCGGAACATACTTTGATACATATAATACTAAGATTTGATTTAATATTATTTATTTGTAGTGTGGACACACCTGTGATCTACTGTAAAACTTATCCTCTAAATAAACATCCAGGTAAGTTCCATTTACCTGTATATCCAGGTGAGCTTGTTTTACTTTTCTATAGGTAACCTAAGATTTGACATTACCTTCAGGTTGGCTAAATTTACCTCAATAATCAGGTGGGCTCAATTTACCTTGACATTCAGGAGAGCTTGATTTACCTTATTGCTATATTCGAGTGAATTAAATTTACCTTGACATTCAGGAGAGCTTATTTACCCTATAACCTTCAGGTGGGCTAAACTTACCTTGATATTCAGGTGGGCTAAACTTACCTTGATATTCAGGAGAATTAAATTTACCTTGTCATTCAGGAGAGCTTATTTACCCTATAACCTTCAGGTGGGCTAAACTTACCTTGATATTCAGGTGGGCTAAACTTACCTTGATATTCAGGAGAATTAAATTTACCTTGACATTCAGGAGAGCTTATTTACCCTAACCTTCAGGTGGGCTAAACTTACCTTGATATTCAGGTGGGCTAAACTTACCTTGATATTCAGGAGAATTAAATTTACCTTGTCATTCAGGAGAGCTTAATTGACCCTAATGCTATATTTAGGTGAACTAAAGTTATCTTGACTCTACATTCAGGTGAGCTTAATTTACGTCAGTCTGTTACATTCAATTTTAGCTAATTTTACCTTGACATCCAGGTGAGCTATCCGGCAGTTGTGTAGGTACTGGAGTACACCTAGCAGTTGTCGGATATAGTAAGCTGCCTCAACTTCATCAAAGTGTGGTTTGCTACATATGTAATCAAACATTCGTCCCATTGGTAAGCTGTAACGCAATTATTGTAAGTTAATTTACAACAAATGATCAACTCTACATTAATTCCTAAATAATCAACAAACCTGTATAAATCAAAGTAATTCTGAAATATTACAAACTGATTATTAAAAAGTAAGAATGATAACTTCACACAAGTTACAGGTAAAATGTGTAAAAAGACTTAAACAACATTGAATACAGCGCATTTGATACACAATTTGTGGATGTGAATCACATAATATTCTAGTATGATGATGAAGTTTGTTATGTGAATCAGTTTGTTATGTGAATCACTTACTGTTCTAGTATGATGATGAAGTTTGTTATGTGAATCACTTACTGTTCTAGTATGATGATGAAGTTTGTTATGTGAATCACTTACTGTTCTAGCATGATAATGAAGGTTGTTATGTGAATCACTTACTATTCTAGTATGATGATGAAGTTTGTTGTGTGAATCACTTACTGTTCTAGTATGATGATGAAGTTTGTTGTGTGAATCACTTACTATTCTAGTATGATGATGAAGTTTGTTGTGTGAATCACTTACTGTTCTAGTATGATGATGAAGTTTGTTGTGGTTTCATAGAGATCAAACACCTGGACCAGATTTTCATGTTGTAGCGACTGTAAAGTGTTGAACTCTGTCTCTACGGCCTCACGAGTCGCTATTCGCCGATTCATAAACTTGGCCAACAGCTCCTGATTCGAGCACTGCTGTACACACTTACGGATCACAGCATAGCGCCCCCTGGTGGATAGAATCATCACATAAGTGTTATAGATTTATTTCTCAGATGAATGTACATGAAGTTTTTTCACACAAGGCCAATGTGCAAGCAGCTTTCACTGATTTATTCAATTTCTCATTTTATTAGTGTGATAAACCATTACATGTTTTAAAGTAAATTAAAAGATTTTTATTCCAGTTTCTCCTTTTTATTTCCCTCATCATTTTACTGACATATTTCATATATGAATACTGCTAGACCTTGGACCTGTCACCAAAATAATATTGAAGTAAGTTCCAGCAGTCTACCTATGTATATGTGTATACAAAAATCAATCATATTACAGATAAATGGAAATTTCAGTTATGTCCAGTTCCAAACCATTGGTTTGGTGGTTATGTAAAAAGTTTACGCACAACGAAAGGTGGACAAAGACGGATAGCAATATCTCGCATGTGAGCTAAAGTCCTGTTTAACATTATATTTTTTCATGCAAAGGACTTGAAAGAAGGCCATTGACGGCTTACTGTCTTTATGACTTTGAAAAATAAGACTCCTTTGAAAATAAGCCAGCTTCAAAAATAAGCCTATAATTAAAATAAGCCAGCTTCAAAAATAAGCCTCTAATTAAAATAAGCCACTGATTATTATTAAGATTTTAGAGTATAAGCAACTGCATGCACGGAATAGGCTGTGAAATTGACTGATAGATACTAGCTCTTAGCATTTCTGTTAGATATTTGCAAGCAGCATTTTAGCTTGTAATGGTCTTAATTAATGGAAGTTCTAACTTAATATGTAACAGGTTTTTACTTACCTGGCTATTTCCTCTACCTGTGAGAAATCATTATCAAACGTGGACTTCCAAACAGCCATACTACCCTCCTCTCTCTCACTCAGTTCTGGAAACACAAACATTTCTCACAGTTACTTGTGTTTGTAAATTAATTAACAATTGTAATTAACATCAGATTCATATGATATATTTATTAACAATTACTGTATATCGGGAAAATTTTTGCCCAGTCAAACTTTCGCCCTTCAACGGTAAAATTCATTTTCGCCCAATATAAAATTGAACGGGTAAGCAGATTTTAGATGTTTACCTGTACAGCGATGTGATCAAATGGTAAACTTTGTATGTTGCTTGACTACGAGATGTTTCAGCTGTTGATAAACAGTGCTTAAACACTGTATTAAATCGGGAAGGGTTTTTGATATTTCAATATATATCTAGTCATCTGATTTATTCTTAAAATTCAAAGTCACCTTAGACTGTACCGGTCTCCAAATATTCATTAAATGACACTCTTTTTTATTTTTGATGCAAATTTCCTAAATGTCACCAGGCCCCGTGAGAAAATGTACAGAATAGTAAAAGTTTAGTTTATTGTGAGTTTTTTGTTCCGTATAAAAAATATGATTTTACAGATATTAACATAGAGTAAATATGTAGTATTTAAATCAAACTTAGACCTATTTTCCAGAACAAACAGTTGTTTTACTAACACACCAAGTCTAAGACTGCTTCATGGTACACAGTCGGCAGGCACCAGCAAGGGTTACGTACCATACTCTGTTGGAATAAGGATGGGGTCCGAGGCCATACTGGGGTCACTCATGCCGACACTGTTGTTGGCGCTGACCCGGAACTGGTACGTACACCCAGGGGTCAGGTCCCCTATTACCTGGGACGTGTTTGGAACGTATGGAATGGCTGCCTGCCACGTCTCGTTACCTGGGAACACAATTAACACGAATCATCACAATATAGGTATCTTGTATCTATTTAATATTTTTTTCTGTCTAAAAACACCACCTGTCTATAACTGCCATATCAAACTAAACCTATATAGTAAACATTAACAACCTGTGAATAAAGACCACTTCTCTATAAAGACTACCTGTCTATAATGACCATCTGTCTATAGAGATTGCTTGTCTAAAAAGACCATCTTCTATAATGACACCTCTCTAAAAAGATTACCTGTCTACAAAGATCACCTGTCTATAACTGCCATATAAAACTAAACATATATAATATACATTAACATTTACCTGTCTGTCTATAAAGACAACTTCTCTATAAAGACTGATTGTCTATAAAGACAACTTCTGTAGAAAGACTGATTGTCTATAAAGGCTGATTGTCTATAAGGATGACCTGTCCATAAAGACCACCTGTCCATAACTGCCATATACAACTAAACGTATATGTTATACATTTACAACCTGTCTATAAAGATAACCTATCAGTATAGACCACCTGTCTATTAAAGCCAGTCTTGCTCTTTCACTTAGGCAGTTTGTACATGAAATTCTACAAAAAGTTGATTTGGTTTGTGGTGGTACACTACTGACTATAAAATAGGAAAGTATGGAAAGCTCTAGTTTTGTTTATATTTTGTTTACAGGTGAAACTTTGTAAATAACATCTCAAATCTGTAATGATTCTGTCCTAACACTTGTAACTTTCCTCACCTGCTTCCCTAAACTCCAGTGTGTAGCCCTGGATCTGACTGCCTTGGCTAGCGATAGTAGGGGGAGACCACTCCAGATGTACGGAGGTCCCCACCTTATTTCTAATCATCGGCTTCGTTGGGGCTCCTGGTCGGTCTGGGTAGGAACACACAGTATGTTAAAAACAAAGAAATATTACCTAATATGTATAAGAATGCTTCTGTTTGGAGTCGAACAAGGACCCTACAGATTACTAGTTGAGTATTCTAAAGTTTGAGCTAAAAGGGAAATTTCCTCTTGTAAAGTCATCTAACAAGGGACTAGATATAATTTTTGCTATTTACAAATATTTACTTACCGTATCATACAAAAAAATATACACGTCTCATATTAACCAATCAAAGCCGTGTATTTATTGACCAATCATGATGACAGAAGCAAGTCTATGGCCCAATGAGAATACACCCTCACCTATTACAGTCAATACAGCTGATGTGATCACGGAGCCCACCTCACTTGTAGCCTTGCAGGCATATTCTCCGCTGTCTGTCAGCGATACATTGTTTATCTGTGGAGGGAATCAACAACATTGATTAATATTGGCTGTAGGAGTAATACATTAATATTGGCTGTAGGAGTAATACATTAATATTGGCTGTAGGAGTAATAAATTAATATTGGCTGTAGGAGTAATACATTAATATTGGCTGTAGGAGTAATACATTAATATTGGCTGTAGGAGTAATTCATTAATTTACAAAACTCTCTAATAAAATACACAGTTGATTACTAATAGACCAGTAGCAGATCTGAAGAAGAAATATATTTTAGTTATCTAAGTTCACTCTCCTACATTAACAAGGAATATATATCATATAGAAATAAGGCGGCATGGCCATCGTCCTTCAGTTTATAACAGCCGTTTACCTGAAGAATGAGTAGATATTTAACACTGGTCCATGCATGATCATCAATCCGATATTAGTTGACTGATCATATCTGTAGATTGATTATGCCTGCAGACTGACCACACCTACAGACTGACCACACCTGCAGACTGACCACACCCATAGACTGACCACACCCATAGACTGACCACAATCGTAGACTGACCACACACCTAGACTGACAACACCTGTAGTTTACCTGTAGACATGCCACACCTACAGACTGACCACACCCCTAGACTGACCACACTTGTAGTTTACCTGTAGACATGCCACACCTACAGACTGACCATACCAACATACTGACCACACCTGTAGTTTACCTAAAGACATGCCACACCTGTAGACTGACCATACACATGTACCTACAGACTGACCATAACCACATACTAGCCACACCTGTAGTATATCTGTAGACTGACCATACCTGTAGTATACATGTAGATTGACCATACCTGTAGACTGATCATACTTGTAGTAATCCTGTGGACTGATTATAAATGTAGACTTACTATACCTGTAGACTGACCATACCTGTAGACTGACCCTACCTGTAAACCTGTAGACTGATTATACCTGTAGACTGACCATACCTGTAGACTGACCATACATGTAGACTGATCATACCTGTAGACTGATTATACCTGTAGACTGACTATACATGTAGTCTACCTGTAGACTGACCATACCTGTAGACTGACTATACCTGTAGACTGACCAAACCTGTAGACTGATCATACCTGTAGACTGACCATACATGTAGACTGACCATACCTGTAGACTGACCATACCTGAAATATGACCATACCTGTAGACTGACCATGCCTGTAGACTGACCATACCTGTAGACTGACCATGCCTGTAGACTGACCATACCTGTAGACTGACCATACCTGTAGTACAGCGATGCCCTCCTCTGTATATGTCATGCTAACATTATGACTGGGCAGCATCTGAATGGTTTCCTGAAAACACCAGCTGATGTTAGGTCGTGGTCGTCCACACACTCGACAGGTAAGTATGGCCGTGTCACCGGCCTGGACTGTCACATTGACCATTGGCTGATAAACTGTGGGCGACATCTCATAAAGCAGGTCCGAGGGTGAAATCTGAGTTCATACATCATACAAAGATCAATATTCATGTACAGGTAATCCCCTGCAGTAAGTCAATTTGTAGGTTTGATTAAAAAGGGAATCCTCTATTGTTGTTCTATTTATAGATTAGGTTCAACAAGGAATTCCCCGCAGTAGCTCTATTTTTAAATTATTTCCAAAATGTAGCACCCTAGAGTAGTTCTAATTTTAAAATTCATAAATTAAGATAAGCCTTGCAGTTTGTTCTGGTTTTAGAGTGATTCATAGTAGTTTCTAGTCAAGTTTCCAAAATATTTTATTTGAAATTATATTTAAACAGAAGCATTTTTTCTTCAAAACATCAGAGTTTTAAACAAGTTTATGCTGTATATCTGACCTTTGACCTCTCCCTCGTGAGCGGAAGTGTTCTTGCCTTCCTGTCCAGACTGGCTGTTCCATCCATCGGACGGCGTTCAGGTCTCAAACCCTGCATCCGCAACTTGAACAGTTGCCAAGAACTTTTCCTGTGGACCAAAGAGAGGATTGTGTGACAGCTGGGTTATACACACAAAATCAAAAAATACCAAACGCAAAATAATGGGAAATAGGCTGGCAGCAAAATATGATATATCTACGAAAATGTGACCTAGCAATATTAACAGGGAGAGGCCAAAGTTGTAATTATGTCTCAGAAACCAATGTTAGATTTTTTTTTAAAAGCCATTTGTACATTATAAGACGAGGCCCAGAGGGCCTGTATCGCTCACCTGGATACCTTAGCAATCATGGCAAAATATTCTCCAAATGAGATCAAGGGAATATGCCAGACCCCAAGGCCAATCCTTGTAGCATAACTGTATTAGATTTTGTCATGCCCAGCAATTTTATGTATGGTTATGGGGTGGGGATCTCAACTGTTTCCAAGCTTTGACTCAGAAACTAGGTCCCTAGGGTTGTGGCCAGACCCCAGGATCTATTCTAATATCGTGACTGTATTTGTCTCTTTTTATCCAGCATTTTTATATATAGTTTTGGGGTGGGGATCTTAACCGTTTCAAAGTTATTACCCAGGGGTTAAGTCTGCAAAGGTGTGGCAGACCCTGGGATCAATTCTAATATCATGACTGCATTCGTCTCTTTACGCCCAACAATTGTATATATAGTTTTGGGGTAGGGATCTTAACCATTTCGAAGTTATTGTATATACGGTTTTAGGGTGGGGCTCTCAGCTGTTTCCAAGCTGTGACTAAGAAACTAGGTCCCTAGGGGTTCGGTCAGACCCCAGAGTCTATTCTGATATCATGACTGCATTCGTCTCTTTATGCCCAGCATTTGTATATATAGTTTTGGGTGGGGATTTCAACAATTTTAAAGTTATGGCCCAGGGACTATGTCTCCAAGGGCGGGGCCAGACCCTAGTGCCATCCTGGAATCAAATGAGCAATCTTCTCTTTATACTCAGCAATTGTATACCATAGTTATATGGTTGGGATCTCAACTATTTCCAAGTAATACACTTTTTTGGCCCCACCCCTTAGCCCGGGGGGTCAGCCCCACCATTTGTACAATTCTGAATCCCTGCCTCCCATGAATGTTTCCACCCAAATATGATCAATATCCATGCCACAGTTCTACAGAAGAAGTCGCTTAAAGCAATATAGCCAAATACCCCTTTTTGGCCCCGCCCCTCAGCCCCCTGGGGGGTTAGCCCAATTGTTTGTACAATTTTGAATCTCCACCACCTAGGAATGCTTCCAGTCAAATATGGTTGGTATCCATCTCTTAGTTCCAGAGAAGAAGTCGCTTAAAGCAGTATAGCCAAATTTCCCCCTTTTGGCCCCGCCCTTCAGCCCCCTGTGGGGTCAGCCCCATCATTTGTACAATTTTGAATCCCCACCACCTAGGGATGCTTTCAGTCAAATATGGTTGATATCCACTTTTTAGTTCCAGAGAAGTCGCTTAAAGCAATATAGCCGAATTGACCCCTTTTGGCCCGGCCCCTCGGCCCCCTGGGGGCAAGCCCCATCATTTGTACAATTTTGAATCCCCACCACCTAGGGATGCTTTCAGTCAAATATGGTTGATATCCACTTTTTAGTTCCAGAGAAGTCGCTTAAAGCAATATAGCCAAATTGACCCCTTTTGGCCCGGCCCCTCGGCCCCCTGGGGGTAAGCCCCATCATTTGTACAATTTTGAATCCCCAACACCTAGGGATGCTTCCAGTCAAATTTAGTTAAATTCCAATCAGTGGTTTAGAAGAAGAAGTCGTTTAAAGAAATTGTTGACGTACATACGGACGTACTGACGAAGGACAAAACGGTATGGCATAAGCTCACCTTGGTTCTTCGGACCAGGTGAGCTAATAATGTCTGATGTTACAAGATGTTGTTCAAGTCAAGTGTCAGTAAAGTCAGGTTTCACTATATACCAGGATGTCCTTAAAGTCAGGTGTCAGTAAGTCAGGTTTCACTATAAACCAGGATGTCCTTAAAGTCAGGTGTTAGTAAAGTCAGGTTTCACTATCTGACATGATGTTCTTAAAGTCAGAAGTCAGTAAAGTCAGGTTTCACTATAAAACATGATGTTCTTAAAGTCAGATGTCAGTAAGTCAGGTTTCACTATATATCAGGATGTCCTTAAAGTCAGGTGTTAGTAAAGTCAGGTTTCACTATCTGACATGATGTTCTTAAAGTCAGAAGTAAGTAAAGTCAGGTTTCACTATAAAACATGATGTTCTTAAAGTCAGAAGTCAGTAAAGTCAGGTTTCACTATATACCAGAATGTCCTTAAAGTCAGGTGTCAGTAAAATCAGGTTTTACTATCTAACATGATGTTCTTAAAGTCAGATGTCAGTTAGTCAGGTTTCACTATATACCAGGATGTCCTTCAGGTAAGATGCCAGTAAGTCAGGTTTCACTATATACCAGGTTGTCCTTCAGGTCAGATGTCAGTAAGTCAGGTTTCACTATAAACCGGGATGTCCTTAAAGTCAGGTGTTAGTAAAGTCAGGTTTCACTATCTGTCATGATGTTCTTAAGGTCAGATGTCAGTAAGTCAGGTTTCACTATAAACCAGGATGTCCTTAAAGTCAGGTGTTAGGAAAGTCAGGTTTCACTATCTGACATGATGTTCTTAAAGTCAGAAGTCAGTAAAGTCAGGTTTCACTATATGCCAGAATGTCCTTAAAGTCAGATGTCAGTAAAATCTGGTTTTACTAACTAACATGATGATCTCAAAGTCAGATGTCAGTTAGTCAGGTTTCACTATATACCAGGATGTCCTTAAGGTCAGGTGTCAGTAAAGTCAGAAGTCAGTAAAGTCAGGTTTCACTATAAAACATGATGTCCTTAAAGTCAGGTGTTAGTAAAGTCAGGTTTCACTATCTGACATGATGTCCTTAAAGTCAGGTGTCAGTAAAGTCAGGTTTCACTATATACCAGAATGTCCTTAAAGTCAGGTGTCAGTAAAATAAGGTTTTACTATCTAACATGATGTTCTTAAAGTCAGATGTCAGTTAGTCAGGTTTCACTATATACCAGAATGTCCTTAAGGTCAGGTGTCAGTAAAGTCAGGTTTTACTATATACCAGGATGTCCTTAAGGTCAGGTGTCAGTAAAGTCAGGTTTCACTATATACCAGGATGTCCTTAAAGTCAGGTGTTAGTAAAGTCAGGTTTCACTATCTGACATGATGTCCTTAATGTCAGATGTCAGTAAAGTCAGGTTTCACTATATACCAGAATGTCCTTAAAGTCAGATGTCAGTAAAATCTGGTTTTACTATCTAACATGATGATCTTAAAGTCAGATGTCAGTTAGTCAGGTTTCACTATATACCAGGATGTCCTTAAGGTCAGGTGTCAGTAAAGTCAGGTTTCACTATAAAACATGATGTTCTTAAAGTCAGGGGTCAGTAAAGCCAGGTTTTACTATATACCAGGCTGTCCTTAAGGTCAGATGTCAGTAAAGTCAGGTTTCACTATAGTAAAGTCAGGTTTCACTATATACCAGGACGTCCTTAAGGTCAGATGTCAGTAAGTCAGGTTTCACTATATACCAGGATGTCCTTAAGGTCAGATGTCAGTAAGTCAGATTTCACTGTATACCAGGATGTTCTTAAAGTCAGGTGTCAGTAAAGTCAGGTTTTACTATACAACATGATGTTCTTAAAGTCAGGTGTCAGTAAAGCCAGGTTTTACTATATACCAGGATGTCCTTAAGGTCAGATGTCAGTAAAGTCAGGTTTCACTATATACCAGGATGGCCTCAAGGTCAGATGTCAGTAAAGTCAGGTTTCACTATATACCAGGATGTTCTTAAAGTCAGATGTCAGTAAGTCAGGTTTCACTATATACCAGGATGTTCTTAAAGTCAGGTGTCAGTAAAGCTAGGTTTTACTATATACCAGGATGTTCTTAAAGCCAGATGTCAGTAAGTCAGGTTTCACTATAAAACATGATGTTCTTAAAGTCAGATGTCAGTAAGTCAGCTTTCACTATAAAACATGATGTTCTTAAAGTCAGGTGTCAGTAAAGCCAGGTTTCACTGTAAAACATGATGTTCTTAAAGTCAGGTGTCAGTAAAGCCAGGTTTTACTATATACCAGGATGTTCTTAAAGCCAGATGTCAGTAAGTCAGGTTTCACTATAAAACATGATGTTCTTAAAGTCAGATGTCAGTAAGTCAACTTTCACTATAAAACATGATGTTCTTAAAGTCAGATGTCAGTAAGTCAGCTTTCACTATAAAACATGATGTTCTTAAAGTCAGGTGTCAGTAAAGTCAGGTTTCACTATATACCAGGATGTCCTTAAAGTCAGGTGTCAGTAAAGTCAGGTTTCACTGTATACCAGGATGTCCTTAAAGTCAGGTGTCAGTAAGTCAGGTTTCACTATCTAACATGATGTTCTTAAAGTCAGATGTCAGTAAGTCAGGTTTTACTATATACCAGGATGTTCTTAAAGTCAGATGTCAGTAAGTCAGGTTTTACTATATACCAGGATGTTCTTAAAGTCAGATGTCAGTAAGGCAGGTTTCACTAACTAACATGATGTTCTTAAAGTCAGGTGTCAGTAAATTCAGGTTTCACTATAAAACATGATGTTCTTAAAGTCAGATGTCAGTAAGGCAGGTTTCACTAACTAACATGATGTTCTTAAAGTCAGGTGTCAGTAAAGTCAGGTTTCACTATAAAACATGATGCTCTTAAAGTCAGGTGTCAGTAAAGCCAGGTTTTACTATATACCAGGATGTCCTTAAAGTCAGGTGTCAGTAAAGTCAGGTTTCACTGTATACAGCTGCAGAATATTATTCACACTTGTGTTGAAAATTCTTCGTCCTGTATCTGATGACACTGCTGTTATTGAGATTTACTGTTACTATCTGACAAAATTAACACTTTTCAGGGGGAAGTTTTTGTCTTTATTTGATGCCAACTTCAAATTACATGACAAAGAACGGCATAAGGGACTGAAACCCTTTACCTTAACGTGGCTCTTCACCTACCTCAAACTCCCATCGCCATCTCTTGGCCCGATGGCATAGCCAGGAATCCAGCCCTCAGCCGCGGGAGAGTTTTTATTGGCCGGACGGTGGACAAAGAACATCTCCTGTTGATTTGATGACATCACCTGGACGATTTCGCCACGAAGGGCTGTGATCTCATCTTCCTTTACGGAGTTGTAGTCACAGATGACCTTACAAATGTGTACAACTTCCCCCGTCGGCTGCCATGGTAATGAAATAGCACACACTTAATATCACATGGAAATGTTTGCTGCACAAGATAATGTTGTACAAATTTCATTAGGTGTCTGAATAGGTTTAGGCATGCAAAATGTTGTGTTGATTTATTGAGAACACAGTACCAGAAAAAAAAATCATTATTACACAAACAACCAAGTCATGTACACGTTAAACTTTTGTATTGGTAAATGATTCTGTTATTTCAGTATTTTTAAACATCCAAACAAGGCTTCATTTGATTTTATAATCATGGCTGCAAATCTTTCTACACCTGATAACGTTACACAGCTGCAGTACACTCAGTCTACCGGACTGACTGTCCAATCCGTATTTTTCTCAAAATTGGCCAAAAACATTCTATTCTGACAATTACACTATATACCCCAGTAGATCGACTCTCGTTATGTCAGGGCAAACCAGTATTACTCTGGAAAATATATTTCAGGACAGATTTGACTATGAATATATGACAGTCTAATTATACAGACTTTTTGAATTTTGGAAATTTGCCTCCTAGCTATATCTTCACTCACGCTTATTTGAAAATATATTTTTTGTAGTTTTGTTTCAAAAAATCATTCAGCCCTGGATCGTAATATTTACCCATCTGTTACTTCCATGTGTTTTCTGTATTACAATCAAAACATGCCCTTTACTTCTGTTTTTTTCCCCCTCATGAATTACAGTTCTAGCCCATTCCTTCTGTTTTCTCCGGAGATTATTTCCAGTTTCTGAGCTACACTTTGGAAGTTGCATATAGCATGATAGTTTACTGAGGGTTTTTAATTCATTTCTTCCACAAGTCATCGTGAATACTGATCAAAGATTCGACATGTGTCATGCTATGGTTTATATATTTTTGTTGATTACAATTTTGTCTTGGAAAGGCATTCAAAAATATTCCGAGTTTTAGAAAAAAACATTTTCAAGAATCAGATTTGATTATAATTAGCTTTATAGCAATATATCATCATAATCTTGTCACATCTCTGAATGTTCTGCAGGTACTATTTTGATTTGTTACACCTCAAGTGAATTTTTAGCTATTTGATTGGTTGGGAGAAAATTAAACAAAAATCTCTGTCACCCTCCGAAAATACATTGGTTTTAAGGGGCGCGTGTGATATTGCCATGAGACAGTGAAAAATATCACATGCGCAAAAAATGTGCGTGCACCGCTTCGTTTCCCCACTGTGATGGTCACTAGAACGTTTGACGGCAACAGCCAATTTCATCAAGCGCCGGTGCGATAGCGATTGTAAACAGCAGACTATCAACAAACAAGATGTCATTATCGAGGTTTGCTGCCGTTTCTGAGCTACATTGACTTTTGGTGTAACAAAATAGATATGACATTCATTAGCAGGTGACAGTGAATATTGTCAACCCTCAAAAACCCATTGTCACCCTCGGCTTCGCCTCGGGTGACAATGGTTTTCTCGGGTTGACAATATTCACTGTCACCTGCTAATGAATGTCATATTTATATAATGACACCTAATTAACATAGAGGATAGAGACATTTTCCTTTCATTATCTAATGCCAGACATTCAAATATATAATGGAATTCATCTCCGATATCTCTTACATTACACAATTGACAAATACGTTCATGTCTTGGTATATTACTCCTAATTCCGGCTNCCCTTATTTTATTTGCCAGCTCTCCAACAGTTTTCAATGTTCCATTTTTTTTTGAACTTTTGTTCTTTGAAGGTTTCCTCTGTATTTCCCTAATGAGGTGTAACATTCTTTTTTTTAAGATAAATGGTGGCAACAAACAAGGTTTTCCTGGATAAAGATTTAAAATGTTCATCTGAAATATTTACAAATCTTGAAAGTTCTTTTTTAAGAAATTTATATTTTGAAAAATAGGTAAGTTAACAAAGCTCTTACCTGTATTGATGTGAAGATGGAATGCAGCACAATGCAACATGCACTAATAAAAGCATGGTTAGTTTTTTTCTTGTAAAGAACTTTTATTTCTTACCTTATTGATTTTTGAAAACACATGCATCTACTTCTAAGCAATCGTAATCAAGCACATTGATAGCAAGGCAAAATTATCAAAAAAATAAATAACACGTCTGAAAAAGTGTATATCAAAACAATAGTTTATACATCAATTGTTACCAGTTAAAGATTTTAAATATTCATGAGAAAGTGAAATGTCATAGATGAAAAAGGAAAAAAACCTTACAGAACAAAACTACAAAACGAAAATAAAAATAAAGTCAGAACGATTTTTATTATAAACTTTTGTTATAACAAATTTACAACAGCAAAAAATGAAATTGATTAACAACAGATTTAAGAAAAAAAACCAATATTTACACATTTCAAAATTTATTTTACATAAATGTTCGTTTGCTTCACACTAAAGCCACCAAACTACACACTATTGAAGAAAATAAAAGTCACTTAAGTTCATTACCATAAACCATGAGGTCCTGCTCCTCAAAGGTCCTGTTGTCTGCTCTAGTTGTCTCCCTTGTTGCTATTTTATCTCACTTGTTATCTCCCTTTGAATCCAGTCAAACTGGACCAATTTGAAAATCCAGAAACCACAAAAGTCTCTGATATCAATAAATGGTTTAAGAAATATGAGAAATCTCCTTGATGTTGTTTGGATCAGGAACTTAACATTAATTTGAAAAAGGGCTAATTTGAATATTTCTTTGTAGAATTTGAACTGATGAGGTATGATGATTGGTACAGTAATAACTAAGTATACAGCCTCTCACTACATCCCCCAACCAGTGTATTACAATTCTGGTTAATTGTTATATAATGTGGAAACTCATCTTGAAAAATGGCTGTAGTATAAAGACCTTTAACTTTCCTACTGCAGTGTTCATGATAAGACACATCAACTCATTCATCCCCTGCAGACACATTTGAACTCTTCCAATTCAAAGGTTGGAATAGCTCATTATGAAATTTCAGGGGTGAATGAGTTAAGGATGTTGTGCTATTTTATTATGGTCTGCTACCTCTTTACAGAAGAGTTCCAATGTCAGAAACCATACGATATCCTTTATCACTGGTCACACAAACTGAGGGAAGACTTGTTACAAGACTTATATTCTGATAAGGCTTGTGATTATTTACAAACTGTATATTGTATGAGTATGGAATTTTATCAGCCAGAATTCATAATCTACCTGTTAAAGTTCATTGTTTAAACATCCGTTGTACCTCAATAAATTATACTGTTTTGTTGCCAATATGTTTTTTTGTTTCTGTTTTAAAAATGAAAAATACTATGTAATGTTTAAACATCCGATGTACCTCAATAAATTATACTGTTTTGTTGCCAATATGTTTTTGTTTGTTTTTTAAATGAAAAATGCTATGTTAATCCATTAAGTTTAGTTCAATTTGTCCATGGCTCCATTTTAACTGCAAAAACAACTTGTAGCCCCATCAATCTAATCAATCAGTAACAAATAGTTGTGCCTTGATCAATTTGTGATGTGGTGTGATATGTCAATGAATGCCAGTAATGATACAATGTGGTTTAATTAGTATTTTGTATGTGGTTTGATATGTTAATATTGTGAGTGTTGTTAAGTATGTTAATATTGTGGGTGTGGCTTATTATGTTAAAATTGTGCATGTGGTTAAGTATGTTAATATTGTGGGTGTGGTTTGATATTTAAATATTGTGGGCATGGCTTGATATGCTTGTAATATATTTACTTATTTTGTTCATATTGTGGGTGTGGTTAAGTATGTTAATATTGTGGGTGTGGTTTGATATTCAAATATTGTGGGTGTGGCTTGATATGTTTGTAATATAATATTTACTTCTTTTCTCACTTTGTAGATCTTTCAACACATTATTGAGTTCATAAAAAAAAACGGGTTTGTTTGTTTGTGTTTTACGCCAGGTTTGGTTTGGTTTGTTTGTGTTTTATGTCCTATTAACAGCTATGGTCACTTAAGGACGTGCCAGGTTTGGTTTGTTTTTGTTTTATGTCTATTAACAGCTATGGTTATTTAAGGACGTGCCAGGTTTGGTTTGTTTGTGTTTTACATCCTATTAACAGCTATGGTCGTTTAAGGACGTGCCAGGTTTGGTTTGTTTTTGTTTTACGTCCTATTAACAGCTATGGCCATTTAAGGATGTACCAGGTTTGGTTTGTTTTTGTTTTACGTCCTATTAACAGCTATGGTCATTTAAGGATGTGCCAGGTTTGGTTTGTTTTTGTTTTACGTCCTATTAACAGCTATGGTTATTTAAGGACGTGCCAGGTTTGGTTTGTTTGTGTTTTACGTCCTATTAACAGCTATGGTCACTGAAGAACGTGCCAGGTTTGTGGTTTATGTCCTTTTAACAGCTGTAGTCATTTAGGATGTGTCACGTTTTGGTGATGGAGGAAAACCAGATTACCTGGAGAAAAACCATCGACCTGCAGCCATACCTTGCAGCTGCCCCACATAGGCCTCATACCTGTGACCCATCGCAGACGGTCAGTCAGACTTATTAACCACTCAGTCACCGTGGCCCACAGTAAAAGATAATGAAGACAAGATTTAGATCTGATAAACAAGACTTTATTTCTTGACTTTGTTATGTTGGACAATTCCTCTTAACTGTCAGTAATATACAAGCATTGGATAGATACAGCTATAGAACTTGGCATTCTCTATGTCAGCAAGTCTGTACGCCCGTCTATATATACACATATAGAGTTCTACACACGGCACTCACGTATAGTCATAGGGGTTATAGACATATGTAACTACACAACCATACATACATTGTATGTAATCATACATACACTTATGTAATTACATGTAACTACACAATTATACATATACTTATGTAATTACATGTAACTACACAATTATACATATTCTTATGTAATTACATGTAACTACATAATCATACATATACTTATGTAATTACATGTAACTACACAATTATACATACATGGTATGTAATCATACATACACTTATGTAATTACATGTAA